CTAAAAAGCTACTGTTCTATATACGTAGCTTGATTCAATCAATAATCATAATCAGAAGCTGTCATATATTGGACCTGTTTTCCCCATCCACTGTGTTTAGATCTTGGTGCTTTTTAACCTCCTAGATTTTGAACGCGGATGAAGGATTTTAGTCATCGGACGTCTGGATCTTAAGTTATAAGAAGAAACAAGCTGAGCTAACGCTTAGGCAGCAGCTCGGCTCCAGCCCCCTCGCGGACGTCCTTTGTCTGTCCAACAGCGTGGGAGAAGCAGTGATTTTTTAAGGTGGAATGCTTTATTCAGTGTGTTTAGTGGTTTTAATCAGGCGGGTCCTGTTTGTTTTGGAGAGCGAGGAGACCCTCTGTGGATAATTGGGGCTGCGCTGGTAGAAACCTCCTGAACCCATGAACCTGCAACGGAATCCTAACCACGGAGAGAGGAAAGCCTGACTGGCAATGACGGCCAAATGGTGGCTGAAAGACAACCCACTCCCATGATCCCCACACCTGCTTGCACCACCTCATCAACCACTTTCCTGTTTGTTGTTTGTTTGGATGTTCTGTTTTCCTCACCCCCTCGGAGGAAGTCATCAGCAGTTTGATTGACCACGCGGTTTTGTTTCTTGATGATGGCTGCAAGAACGATAAACACCATGTGTTGCCAGTCCTCCTTGCGCTCCTCCCCAATCTTCCAACCTACAGCCTTCTCCCTCCTGTCCTCCCCCTTCGAGCTCACAACCGGCTCCAATGAAATATACCCACTCCTGACCCATGCTGGATCATCCCAGCCTGAAAACGACACCAGAGGGCTGTTTATCCTATACGCTCTGAGTCCAGCATTAATAAAAGTCCCTGAGTGCAGCATATATTGAACGTCTGAGCCACGCGCATTATTAATCGTCTGAGTCAGCCAATTATTAACAGAGCTGGAGTCAGCATTCATGAAAGCTTGTTGATGACAAATGTGTAAAGTGGATGTAAACCAATACTAATAGAATGAGTTGATTGGTGTTGTTTTTGACCATTATTATAATAATCTCCTGGACCACAATAAAATACACTGATTATAGATTATTGATTAATTAATTGATTTAATGAGTGGGATGAAAAATCATTCTTTTGACCATTTTCTGGATATTCAGGTACAATTTGAGGAAACTCTGGAATGAAAACTGATTAATGTCAATCAATCACTATCAGTAGAATCATAATCAATACTTATAGCACACACACACTCTTCACGACACACAAATCATATGATAAACATCGGTTAACAGTGTAACTCTTTCATAATATCTGCTGTGGTGTTTCTGCAGAAGGAACGAATCAAACTGAAAACACAGAAATTGTTCCAGGAAACTTGGCAGCTTCACACACACACACACACAGCCGGCTGCGACGTGGCAGTCCGAGGTTCAGAGTCTCTGAGGTTTTGGAGGTTTTGGACTCCAGTTGACAGATAGTTCAGCTTCTGAAATCTGTTTGTCTTCAAAGCTGCGTCAGCCAATGAGGAGCAAGTTTCCTTTCACCTCAGTTAAACTCGTCCGGAGCCTCCGGCAGCACAGCGTGACCTCACAGCGTCTGTTTCTGATCACTGATGTCATTTCCTTCACAACAGATTGAACAGATGTTTCATAAAATCTTAAAATAAACAGGATTTATTTTTCAAACTCAAAACAACGAGTGGATCTCAGCAAAACAACATTTGTGTCAGTTGTTCCGGTTGTTCCTTATATAAGGGACCTACAGTCAATAAATATATATTTATATATATTTATACACATATACAGGTAAAAAAGCACATTTTTAACCTCAACACGAAATGAAAGCTGCCCTTTAAACCCTTCAAAATCACATCTTCAGTCATATTGTACCTCTATTTAACAGAAAATAGAAGAAATATGTTAATTCAATCATTCTTTTCTTCTAAACACAACTTTATTATCACTGGTACAAAAACACAAGCTTTGATTATCACGTGCCTTGCGGCGTGTGGGCCGTACAAACACACACGCTTTATTAACAGTGTACACACACAACTTTATTATCACTGTACAAACACACAACTTTATGTATCACGTACAAAGCACAAGCGTTTATTATCACTATACAAATGCACAACTTTACTATCACTGTACAAACACAACTTTACTATCACTGTACAAACAAACAACCTTATGAGTGATTTTGGTGAAACTGGATCATATTGCATAGAGAGAATATTCACTGTTTTTCTTCACTGGACGTCTTCCGGCTGATCTGTCTACTAATGTAGCTGCCGTTAGTTAACTGCTAATGTAGCTGCCATTAGTGGTCTATGGAACCGGGCTCAGCAGCCTCCCAGTGAACACAGCCAGACAAGGACCAGTTTTGATATGTACATAATAATTGCATGCAGCCATGAGCAATAAATCCCAGGTTGCTGTTGTTGGGATGATAACCCTGCTGTGGGTTCCACTTTGTAAATAAAGATGTTTTGGGTTTTCTTACATTCCAGCAGTTGTTGGATGTGAAACTTGAGACCAGCAGTTTCTGTTGTTGAAAGCATCATTACACAGTGAGCCATAATCACATCAGAGCAACAGAAACTGTACTTGTGGTTTGTATTGGTCAACAGTACACTGACCTGCATGTTTAATCTCAATAAAAACATCTTGAACATCAGACATCGGCTCTGGTCTGTGTCACAGTAAACACTCCCTCCTGCAGGGTTAGTGTTTGCTCTCACAGGATGGGAGGTTTCTCAGTCGGGCTGTAGTGGTAAGACAAAGAGTAAACACTGTCTTACCCTATCACAGCATATAGCGGTTGACCCGGATGGAAAGATCTACATTCTCTATCTTAAAAACAATCTTAAATCCTATAATCTGTATTTTTTTTATAGAAAGTAGTTTATTTCAATACACCTGTGTGTAAAAATGACTTTTAATGATTACTGAGATTTTTCTTTTGCTGGTCTGCAGGTCCTCTTTTAGGTTCTCTAAACCTGAACCAGAATGTGTTGTGGTCAAGATCCGGCTCAGCTCGACGACGACGCAACATTGAAGAGGCTGAACTATTTAACATCGAGGTTAATAAACTATTTAAGACAGAGGTCAATGGACTGTTGTTGACGTTAATGAACTATTGAATGTAGAGTCCTCCTGCTCTCTTCTCCTCCTCCAGGTTTTGTTAGCTGTGGATTATTCTGTTCTTCTTTTCCACGGCCGAGACCACATTCAGAAATATCTTCTGACTCTCATGAACATAGTAAGTAAATTCAGGAACTCAATGTTTAATTCAGTGTTAAATAGAGATGATGTTAGTATTGAGTCCTGTTGGTGGACTGCTGCCCAAAGATAAACTCAAAGAGGATCATCTCAAAATCCACAAAATCAAACTCATGACCCTCCAGAATCTATGTGAGAGTGAGGTTTGACATTCTCTGGTCCAGATCCCTTGTTTGTCCCTTGTATGAGGTTTCCCAGCTTTCCCTCAACATAAACAGGCTAAACCTATTTGGAGCAAACCTTCTCATCCACCTTTTTTAAAATGGGAACTACCAGCTGCAAGTCCATGGGCACTGTAGACCAAGACAGCCCAACAACGGACTTAATTTGCATAAAGTCGAATCATGTTTACGCAAATTCAGATACAGCAAACATTTAACGTTATCGATCATGCATTGTGCAGTTGAATCTCCTGCTCTCCATAGAAAATGAATACCGTCCATTGACTTGACATCACTCAACAGATCCACTGTGTCTGTACCATAAGGCTTCCCTACAGTCTTCCAACTCCGTGGTTCTCCTTCTGCTGAGAATATGTCAAACTCTTTGACCCTGAATGCTGCAGTCCTTCTGGCCTCACTACCTGTGTGACTCAAGGGCCTCCTGGTCTATCGAGACTAAAAGGCCTTTTCCTTCGGTGTTGTGACTGCTTCTGTCCTCTTGTGGGATGTTTGTTTCCACCACAACAACAAGAGTCGCAGGAGGCAGGAAAAGAAAAAGAGTTGGAGTTTAAAATCCTCACAAACAGAAGTCTCAGCCAGATGTTCCAGTTATGCCTCAGTAAATGTTTGGGTTTACTTGAGTTTGTGGAGAGCTTCACTTATTTTGGCAGCCTTATCAGCAACACTGTGACACAGAAGGACATCTTTCCCCCAGGAGAGATTACCATGGTGGAGGGGAGGTTGTATGTCACTCTGCGACATCCTGGATCCAAATTTTTAACATATATTTATCAATTTTTTTATTTTGTTGGTTTGTTCTGTATACATTTACCATCTGTTTGTTCTATAAAAGGGATCTTTCCTCTGAGGTTCTTCCTAAGGTTTCTACCATCTTTTACCCTGTTAAAAGGAGTTTTGGGGGAGTTTTCCCTATACAGGGTTGTAATGCCAGAAGGTATTCAATC